CTTCGGAATGCGTCTCTGTTGAATGTCTCCCTTTTCAAACATGAGGTTTTTCTCCTTCTGCTCGCTTTTACGGCCTTCGCGCGATATCTTAACAATGTTACGATAGAAATGTGGAGTAAAGAAATAGATTATAGGTTCCGTAAATCGGGCTTTTTGAAGTCTAATAGTTCCGTAACTCGATTCTTGCTAAGTTTGAGTTGATGTTACTGGTGCAGGGATATAGGAGTTTAGTGCCTGGAATGTCTACTCAAACTAGCAGATTTTATTCCAAAGGTTCTGGACGTTACTTTTGAATTCTAATGTTGAAAATAGAGCTTTATTTTCATGCGCTTGTTAACTGAATTGATACTAAGTTTGATGATAGGGCTGACGGCTTTTCTTCTAGAGGCTCTGGATTACGCTTCAAAATTACCATTAGGGAAAATTTTCATGGTTTTTTGTTTGTATTTTTACGTATTTATCGTTGAATATGTTAATGGTTTCTTCCTCGTGAGCTGAAATGGTGGTCTATGTTACCATCTTATTTTATATATTTTGGATTAGAAGGTAGAAGAAAGTTGAAGTCAGACGGTCGTGGTTCGTGTGACGAGAATGTGTCGCAGAAAGATGTTGCTCTTCAACAAGCCCTAGATCAGATCTCGTCATCCTTTGGCAAGGGCTCGATTATGTGGCTTGGGCAATCAGGCTTTTCTAATCACGTCCCTGTAGTATCCACGGGTTCCTTTTCTCTGGATATAGCACTCGGAACTGGTGGACTTCCAAAGGTAATTTCCAGATTTGTGTTTGAATTAACTCATACCATCTGTACTGTCATATGTTAGGGAATTTTATTTTTCATTGGAGACAGATTTCTCACAACGTTAAGAAGACAACTCGAGTGTTCATAGAGTGTATCAGCAACCTAATTATCATGTATGAGTATGTATGTGTTTAGTAACCGATGACGGCTGATCAAATCAACCAAAGTCCATGGAGATTTATTTCCTAAATATTCACCCTTTTTCCCCATAGTTCAAGCTTTAGGCGGGAACAATTTAATTAAAATGGATTCTTGGAGGATTTGTTGCTAGATGAGTTATCCTTGCTGCAACAAGAATATTTTTTAATAATGGAGAAGGGCAATCTCAAAACTTATTAGAAATCAGCAAGAGCATATTTTCCATTCTTTTCGCTTGGAAATGTTCCCCATATTTAATTTTCTAGTAGAAAAAGTTACACGTATGTATTAATCTTGAAAAAACGAAGAACAGAAAAAACAAAATTGCTACTATCTTTAAAGCTCAAAGTAATCTCAAGTCTCAACATCAACCGCACTGTATATGAAATATTTATGGGTAAATGAAATTGGTAATGGATGAGACTGAGAACGCAGACCAGAATCGCCAAAGTCCATGTATCTCAAATTCTTAGAGGATGGGCTGTTAGGAGAGTCATCCTTGTCCTCTGATTTATTTTCCGGGCTTCTTGCTTTCCTTCCATATACTAACTACTATCAGTGGTTTTGAGCGTTACAACTCAGCGTCTATGGAGATCAGATTCACCAAGCCCTGGATGTTTAGTTCCTAAACGCACATCCTTTTCTCCCATAAACCAAGCTCAGTCAATATGGTTTCGGAAGGGTAAAAGTAATACGAAGGAATCCTCAGTTGAAATTTTGGTTGGCGTGCAGGTTTCCAGTTTAAACTTTTAAATTTAGCTTCAAATTTAAATTTTGTGTACTTGAAACAAGAAGTCAACATTATTTATGCTTTTTGTGTTATAAAAATGTTTCTACGAAAAGTGACAAATAAAATTAGCCCATTATTTTATATTAAAAGTGTGAAAATCTCATATATGGTTTGACCTTGAGATGCCTTCAGGGACGTGTTGTGGAGATATTTGGTTCCGAGGCTTCTGGGAAGACAACCCTTGCACTGCATGTAATTGCTGAAGCACAGAAGGAAGGAGGTTTTCTTCCTGCACTGACTATTGACTTTTTCATTCTCTCTAACCACATATCATTTGTCTATGACATATACTACTAAATGACACCAAGGGTTCTCAATCCTGTAGGATGGTGTTATTTTGTCCGTTTAGAATATGTTACAATTTGTGAGCCAATTGCGTCAGAATAAAACACAGAGACAAGAACATGAGTGCTAACTTGTTTGGACTTTTTTTTGTGTTATAAAATGCTCTGGGACTATGTATTTGCTCTTCTTTTGTTTCTAACAGTTTTTTTTAATTGTAGGTTACTGTGCCTTAATTGATGCTGAGCATGCTCTTGATCCAGCACTGGCTAAGGCTATTGGGGTAGACATTGATAAGCTGCTTCTTTCACAACCTGATTCTGGTGAACAAGCTCTAAGCCTTGTCGACACCCCAATCCGAAGTGGTTCCGTTGACGTTGTTATTGTTGACAGTGTATGTTATATGTTTTTTTATGGGTTTTGAACTATTTTTTGGGTATACTAAAGATTTATAGGTTGATATAAAATTTTTTTTACCCTGATTTGGGAGGTGGTAGTCTCCTTTGCTTACAGCAGTGGGAGAATTTTTGAGCTGTTTTCTTAAAATATCCTTGGTTTCTTCTGTCCTCAGAAATAGTTTTACTAAATGCTATTTGCGTCTGTATTGATCTTCATTTTTTTTCTTCTAGTTTCATTTCAATCGGTATTAGACACAAAGCTTCTTGTTTGTTCAGCCCATAACATAATTTTGATGCTTATCAATTAACATAATTTATATGATCAGTTTTTATCCACGTTGTGATTGCTATTCTTACGATGAAATTTTCATTATTTCAGGTAGCTGCGCTTGTCCCTAAAGATGAACTTGATGGTGCAGTGGGTGATGCTCACATGGCAATGCAGGCTAGATTGATGGGTCAGGCACTTAGAAAACTGACTCACTCTTTATCATCATCACAAACGCTTTTAGTATTTATTAATCAGGTAAGGTCTGTTGTTCTACTTCTCTTAATGGTATGGATTGAAGAAAACAATTAATTACTTTTATTACTTCTATGAATATGGCGTGTTGGAGTTTTTTCCTTCTATATTCTTTTCCAAGGTTAATTACCCAACCATCATGGGTGGTTCATTGGTCGGAACTAGGGTTAATTAAGAGGGAATGGGTTCAAACCCCATGATGGCCCTACCTTAGGAATTGTTTCTCGGCACTAAATGTTGTAGGGTCAGACGGTTGCCCCGTAAAATTAGTCGAGATGCGCGTAAGCTGGTCCAGACACTCACGGATATAAAAAAAAATGTAGAGTATGCATTTTGATGTACATCGTTATTGGCTTCTTCTTTCCAAGGGCATCGAAGTTTCTTTAGTCCTGCTTTTTTGCTTCCATGAGGATAAAATATATTTCTTGAGAGATAATGCACCATCTTTTGTGTCCATCTTCAGGTGAGGTCAAAACTTTCAACTTTTGGGGGATTTGCTGGCCCTACTGAAGTTACTTGTGGTGGAAACGCATTAAAATTCTATGCTTCAGTGCGCCTAAATGTTAAAAGTATAGGACTTATCAAGAAGCTTGATGAGGTATAAATCCAATTTACAGTTTTTTTAAATTTTGAAAAATTTCTATCGTGGCTGCCCAATTTACTCAATAGGCCTACTTTCACAGGTGGATAAATTCAATTAGTTTCCAATTCTATGAGGTTTTCTTTGCATAAACTACAGGATGATTGTTAACACAATCAATGGTACCGTTTGTGTATCTTTAAAAAATTATTATATTTTAGTTTGTTTTTAAGTTAATAATAATCATCAGGGTGTGTTTGGAGGTGGGTTCTGAGTAAGTGCTGAAATCAAAAGTACTAGTTGGAGGAGGTGATTAATAATAAATCTCATGATTTGGCTCTAATATTTGAGAAGCATTCTCTAAGTGCTTAAATCAATCTACGTTTTATTTACAATCTACTCATGTTAACAAACAATCATGAAGATGATCATGACTTAAATAGTGGGAAAAAGTCCCAAACTTGTTTTTTCAATTCACAATCTTGTGAAGATTGACTTAAATCAACCTACTTCTGATCTACTTTCTCTTGTAGACAGTAGGTAGTCGAGTTCTTGTGAAGATTGTGAAGAATAAGCTGGCTCCTCCTTTCAGAACAGCTCAATTTGAGCTGCAATTTGGCAAGGGGATTTGCCGGGAAACAGAGATTATTGATTTGGGATTGAAACACAAATTCATCTCAAAGGCCGGTTCGCACTACAGCTTTAATGGCCAAAGTTTCCATGGAAAAGATTCCTTGAAAAGGTTTCTAAATGAGCATGAAAGTGCTAGGGAAGAACTTATTTTAAAGCTTGGGGATAAGCTACTTAATGGGGAAAAAATGGAGGAAGACCAGGCTGTGGATGAAGACTCCGAAGTCGTATCCGCAGCTGCGGTGCCATAGCATACGAAATCGATCTCCTTAACTAATTTTCAAAGGCTTTTTAACTGTTTATACTCATCTTGTTTGGCACAGATTGGTGGCGGTGTTCAGAGGCCAATGTTTGATCTCAGAATGCTCCCTTTGGAGCCAAAGAAACAGATTTTTCATACGATAAATCTCATTATGCAATTATGTAAGAATATGCTAAATTCCCATACTTGCTAACAAGGCCGCCCGTTTTGCACAGTACAGGTGATGTCCTTGGATGCAGCTGTGGGTTATTACAAGGATGCAGATTAAATTCAAGGGGAATGCTAACCGGAGGTTTTTCTGTTCCTTTAATCCTCCTTTAAATGATTTATCATCATTGCTATTATATAAGTTTTTTTTTGTTAAATTGTACCTTGAGCATTTTGTTTATTTAGCCCTTAGTTGTGAGTTTGACCGCACCTTCACAAGTTGTATTAAATAATAATAATAATAATAGTTTTGGTAGAATTGGTGTGACATGACATGACAAATAATTGGATAGACTAATGAACATGTCACGTTAATATTTTGTTAAAAGTATTTAGAACCAAACTAAATAGAAACATTATTCAAAATTATGACACAATTAATTTTTTCTTTTTTATATAAAATTTGAGTAATGAAATTGATATAATACTCAATATTAGATATTAAATTGACAATATAACATTTTTTAAGAATAAAACATAGTTATGACTCCTAATTTTTTCCTCTGTTTACATTGTTTCCTCAATCAGCCCATTGTTTATACTCGCATGCATGGGTTTGGAAATTCAGAAGGGACCCATTTGGCCGATGAACCGAATAATTTTCTGAACACACATGGATACTAATAAAGTAATCCCATTTCTATTAACCCAAAGTTCTGACCAAAAATTTTATTTGCTGCCTCGGTCAAATTCAAAAAAGCCCAAAACCTGCAACTTGTTATGGAATTGAGTTTTAAAATTAAATTATTGGAATTGATCGAGAATTGGTTCATAGGTTGAATTTCTATGACTTGACATTGAGTCTAGGATTAAGAATATATATTCTCTATGCTATTCAAATATTAAATCTAGGCTTGTTAGTCAAATTTAATTTCTATGCTCTTGGTTTATATTAGTTTTGTATAAGGTTTAGGTAACGATTGCATCATTATCAAATAGTTGATATCAAATTTAACTAGGCAGATTCATTGGACAGTCAATACTGTCGTCTCGCCTTTTCTAACTCCTCCCTTAAGAAATACAAAGGACCAAGCTCACAATTTGCAGCCAAGATCAAAGCACAGAGACCCAATTAATTAATTAAAAAGGCTGTTGAAAGAAAATCTTGTCCCTCCATTGGCAAAATAGAAGGCCCAAAACAGGTAAAGATTCAGTCTTGCATTGGTTGGTGGATCTTGAAAGAGGAATTTTGACGATGGTAGTTGTTTTTCCCGCAGTCTTCCTTTAAAGTAGCATTCAATTTTGGCGACCGCTTCCTTTTAGAAACTCAACTGTTTTGTAACATCCAAAATCTATAGAAAATGCGACAAAAAGCTGACGTAGCTTTCTAAGTACTAAATATTTTTTTTGCAATTTCATGGTTCGTATGCTTTCATTTACTACTTTTGAGTGGATCAATAATTTAGTTCCGGTAGTTGTCTCCGGTATATGGATTTTGAGATGGCCGCACGTGCCTCTAATTATAGAGGAGCAAAGCTTCGACTCCTAATTAAAAAAAAAAATTAATTTTCGGTGAATGTAAATTGAATCAAAATATAGTGTCATATATATATATATATATAACACTAATCATTAACGTTATATATCCTTTATTAGAAAAAGTATATACTCAAGAGGAGGAGATGATTGGAATAAAAGCAAACTTCCATTTGCATAGAAAGAAGGCGGATGAAGAGATGTTTGATTAAAGAATCTTTACATTGGTAAGAAGCGGAGAAAATTCAAGCTATACAAGGATAAAACTTTAGTTTTTTTTAGTAAAAATCAAAACCAAGATAATATTGATACTATTGTTGAGATATGATATTGAGAACAAAACTTGCCTGCCTAGGAGACAAAAATGAAAAGTACATAAAAGCCAAAATAACAATATAACCATTAATCTATATTTTATATCTCATAAAAAAAAAAAAACTGACGGTGGAGATGAAATGAGCAGTTGACGAATTGTTTTATGGGAGATGGCGACTGGTGGTGTTGTCAACGTCACCGAGCCAGGTCAGATACAATCCTCTCCACTGCTTCCCTGAAGGCTGACTCGTCCCATTCATTCTCCTAATTCAATTGGAGAAAAAAAAAAGAGTAAGAAATTTGAAATTAAGCCAAAGTTTTTTCTTTTATCTACTTTAATTCTCCACCTGCCCTTTTACACTACTTTCCTTCCCATTTCCTAATATTAACATATATTAGTTAATTGCACTTTCCTCCTCACTTCCTCCTAAATTATTCGAGGTGGGTTTTTTTAATTAAAAATATTCCGATTTGTGCTTCCTATTGTTAGAATTTTTTACAAATAATAGAGATTATAGGTGCTCACAATACATAATCAAGATAAAATTTAGGTACTTACTAGTAAATGGGTATCTCTTACTTACCATCGTTAAGAAAATAACAACTAAGGTGGATGAATACATGAAAAAAGAGAGAGAAAATAGAATAAATAACTGTTGATTTTTTAACGATGGTAAGTAAGAAGATGTATATGGACTTGAGTTTTATTCTCTCAATGGAGGTTTGTTATGACGTGATGAAGAGGGGTTTTGGACTGTGATTTGTATTGATTTTTGTCATTTGGGAGTTGGGATTTTCTTCAATTTGCATATTTTAGTTGCAGAAACTAACCGTTAATTAATTTTCTTACCTCAATGATTAATCTCAAAGTTAGATGGTTAATAGAACTTGAAGCTGTTAACTGGGTGTTGCCTTCCATGGATACAACTCTCACATTGTCAAGCCTCTTCAAGAACTCAAGAATCCCAATGACTATGTTTGTCAATGGAGTTTCTCCTCTAGTTGCTATATGCAAATCGATAATTTGGCGTTCCGATGTCGATTCGGGAACGTTTGAAACTCGAACTCTGAATAATCTATCTGATTCTTGGGAAAATTCTCTTCTCTCTTCTTCTGTTTTAGCACTCTGCAAAAGCTGTGCTTCCAGTTGCTGGTTCTTCCGACTAAGCTCAGCCACTTGAGCTTTCAAAGAGCTCAAATAATCCCTTGTGGTTGTCAGCACTGATCCTTTGTCTTTCTGCACGAATCAAAATCCACTATTTCTTCAAACAGATCATCAAATGGTCACCAAAATGCAAAGATTATCAAATGGGGTGTTAAAAGATAGAACCTTTGTTCCTGGTGGGAGTAGAGATTTCAATGCCTGGAAGCTGTCGTTGAGTTTCTCCCTCCGCCGCCGCTCCGACATGACATGGTGAAGCTGCGAGCTCGTCGGTCGACTCGTCGTCGGTGGCGTGCGCTCCTGGAGCCTCATGAGATTCAAGTTCCTCAAGAAGGCAAATGATCTCTTGAGCAAGCTCTGCCTGCCCGAGCTTGGCTTTCGATTCGGGGTTAAAACTCGCGTGTATTTCTTGAATCCACTGGCTTTTACACTCAAATGGTAGTTCTGAGGAAGCCCCTCTAGAGGTTGATGAACAGAGGAGGAGGAAGAGCAAGCTGGTGATGACAGAACTGCGAGGATGGCTCTTGTCATGGCCTCATCTAAGGCCTCTGGTGTGGGGAACTGGAGGTTTCTTGCTTGAGCTAAAATTGAGTCCATGGATTGCTGCTGCTGCTGCTGGCTTTGCAGGATGGGAATGTGGGGAGTGGTTTGAATTCCATTGAAGAGAAAAGAGGAGCATTCCACGGGGCTGTCCATTGACAGTGATCTCAAGGAAGAAGAAGAAGACGAAGGCGGGTTCGGGGTGAGCGTCGGTTTTGGTTTCGGTTGCGTGGCTGGCAGAGGAAGCTCCATTGGAACCTTGGGAGGAACATCTCCAGGTACCAAGTTGCTTATAATCATCTCTATGTCAACCTGGAAAATTTCGTCATCAACTCTTTAAAACTGATGGTTTAAACTTTTTTCTTGAAATGTAGAGATCAAAAAGGTTTGTTTACCTGAGAAACATTGGAGAATCCAAGCTCAATTTCGCCATTGATGCTCCCCAAGAAGATAGAAGTCTGAATCCTTGCAGCCTGCCACAAACAAGAACAAAACCAGAACAAAAGAATCATAATACATACAAAAAACACTCAACACAACACAACAAAATTGTCTTGGTATTTGATGAACTCACGACATAAAACTGTCTCTGCACATCAGCAGAAGCAAAGGTTTGAAGCTGGGAGTCCTCCAATTTGAGACAAGGAACATTGTGTTTATGGGCACGTCCTGGAACAAGTCTAACAATATAAAACAAACCCACTTATTACAACACTGCAAAAACACAAGAACAATCAGACAAAGATTATATAAGCCAATTACCCATCTTCCACACTGAAATCTAATTGCCTGTATTCCCCAAAAAGCAACTGCACCAAACTGGAACAAATTGGCTCCACTGCTATCTCCTGCAATAACCCATCCAAGAACCTCAAGCAGCTGCACCCCAAGAGAACCAAAAACATCAAAAAATGACCCAAAAAAAGAAAAGGCAACAACTTTGAAACAGAGAGAGAACAGAGAGAGAGACTTGGATGGCTGAGGCAGATACGACCAGAGGCAAATGTAAGTGCAGCCAAAGGAATGCATTACAGATTGAAGAAAGCTATGGCGTTGGCCTTCATGGAGGTGGAAGGCAATATCCATGAAGAACTGATGCTGCATGGAGAGGATTAGGATTAGTTATATTTCTTCAAAGAATCTGCATTCTCTTCTTGTTTCTCTCAGTTCTTTCTGGTGTCTACACCTAACGGCAGACATTTCCAAATCCGATTCCAGTTTGTTCTGAAAGTTTCTGGAACCATGGATGTGAAAAAGGTGAATCTTTATGGTTGAGAAGACAGAGAATGATTGAAAAGTAGGATGGTTGTTGACGAAGATTTGAAGGGGTTGATGAAGTTTTTGATATGAAACAAGAGAGAGAGAGAGAGAGAGAGAGAGGGAAGAATTTTAATGGCGATTTGAAGGAGAGAGATGGGTTTTTGTGGGGGGGAAAATGAGGGACACAGAACAGTGACTTTTTCAAGAATGGATGCAGCACAGAGAGAGGGAGAGAGCCCGGCAAAGTAAACTTGGAAAAGTAGTGGGTCAAAGTCCACCATTCTGAAGAAGATTTTTGAATTAATGCAAACGAAACAAGTTTTGTCCTTTTCAATTCTTTACTTTTCTTTTTGTTACACCGGCAGAAATGGGACTAACTTACCTGCATCTTTACTAATTTTACTAGACAAACCACATGGTCTTATTACATCTACTGAGAAATGCTAAAATTATGAAATACTATTTTCACTAAGATCGTAAATTCTTTATCTCTAAAAATCCATTTCGTGGTATGAATCTCATCGTGACGTCCAAGTAGAGAGCAGGGATACATGAATGAACCGATACCACATCTGATTGGAGAGATCCTGAGGTCATGGAAGAATGGTCAAGAAAAGGTTAAAAAAATCGATAGTCACTACTTATACTGACAAGTTACACCTTCTTTTAGGTAACTAAATCATAAAAACTCCAAAGTTATGCATACTTGACTTGGAACAATCTTCGGTTGATTCGACATGTGTTATTACTTTTTATGTGGGTGTATTTCTTTCTCTCTCTCCCTCTCTCTTTTTTTTTGTTAGGTACCAATTCGGGAGATTCGAACTTGAGACTTCTAAACCAGTATGATCGAAAAACTTCAAGTCCTTGCCAACTGGACTATCATTAGATGCTGATATGGGTAGAGATGTTCATGAGGTGAGGCGGGCTTCCGCGTCCCCGTCTCTATCCCCATGACATTCCCCACGGGGAATTTTTCTCCATTTATTATTTTATTTTTAAAATTATTACTCAATTAAATATTTTTTTTCTAAGCAAATTTTAATTAATGGCTTACTTTTCAACGTTAAAATTTTATTTACACGGTCAATTCTTCTATATATTGGATTGTAGAGAAGAATATGATTTTTTTTAGTACAGGTAGACATAGAGTATATATAGATGGAGAAAAAAACTCCCTAGATATGGGTGTATCTTCTATGAAGTTAGTTGTCATATGCTCTTATTTTTGTTGTTTTGTATCCATGTATTGTCTTTTTTTACAAGCACAAAATACAAAAATAAAACTCAAATGATGCAATAAATAAATAAATAAAAGAGTATGTAATTTGAATGACGTCGAGGATAATGAAGAATCATGAAATTTCCCATATATGACCAAGCAGTGGAAAACTAGTGCAAAATTACAACACACAACTTATACTTTTCAATATTTCATATAATGGGATATAAAAATCATATCACAAAAAAGTACCATCAAAATTATAAAGTATTCATATTTATTTATTTATTTATTTTTAGTTTGATCAAAGCACTTATTTTATTACCATGAATAGCAACTTGTGCTTAAATTTTTCATGAACAAAAGCATAGTTATATATAATTCGAGTTTCCATAATATTAATTATTTTTTCTAAGAAAGACTTTACATTTAGACCATTTTTCTCTCAAAACTCAAATGAATAAGGTTTATTACACCTTGCTTACATCAATTTAGAAGCTTCTCATTCCGTTCACATTATTGACGTGGAATTTATGGAGAAGACTAATTTAGCAGCAAAGGAATCTAAATTTGGGGTTATATGAGAGAGAATAATTAAAATGTAATGCAGATCCATTTAACTGTATATTTTCAACCAAGATGTCGTGAGTTCGATCTCCACCCACATGTTATACTAAAAAAATCCAAACAAAAGTTAAAATTTGACATTAAAATTAAATTATATCACAGACATGAATATGTACATTAAATTATTATCAGTTAAATAACACTTTTGGTCCTTGTATTTCAGTTGAAGTAACGATTTAGTTCCTAAAATTTCACAAGTAACGATTTAGTCCATGTACATTCAAATTAGCAACAATTTAGTCTCTAAAACTTAGAATATAACAATTTAGTTTTTTAAGTTTAATGTTTGTAATGATTTAGTCTTCATTGTGAATATTTTTGTTAAATTTCTTATATATATAGATCAATAAACCGATGAAGGATTGAATTTATTTATAAATTACAAAAATTAAATCATTATATAATAAAAATTGACACTTAATTTTGATGAGAATTTTCGTGGTAAGGACTAAATTGTTACAAATTTTAAACTATGGGGACTAAATTGTTACATATGAAAGTTTAGGGACTAAATTTTTACCAATATAAAAGTACAGAGACTAAATCGTTACAGTTAAAAGTTTATGAACTAAATCGTTGTTTTAACGAAAGTACATAGACAAAATAATATATATGTGGAATAATTCTCTCTCTCTCTCTCTCTCTCTCTCTATATATATATATATATATATATATATATATATATATATATTTATTAGTACAACATGTTAGGGAATTCGAACTTACAACCTGGAGGTACATGCCAATTACCGGTGAGCTATACTCGTTTTGACGTGGAATAATTATATTAAGAGAAAAAAAATTTACCCGTTTTAAACTAAGAATCTCTTACTTTGACGACATGTGATTTTAAATTCATTGTTAAGATTAATGTTTTTTTTAGGAAATTAAAATCAATAGTTGGATATAATATATTAGGATAAATATAAAACTTTTAATAGTTGGCCAAACCGAGCATAGCTCAAATGGTTGAGACATCTATCTCTGACCAGAAGGTTAATAAAAATTATAACACTCTAGGGCTGTGAATTTAAATTTATTAAAAGAAATACGGTATATAATATAAACTTAATTAAACATTAAAAAAATTACTTATTTTAAATCAATAAACACCTTGATCGTAGAGGTCTGCTGCCCCTTCTCACGCAAGAGAGCGCAACCCTCGTGATCACACAACTCCTCCCCGTGACAAGGGAGCGCGACTCTCATGGCCGCACCTTTTTGTGCCCACGTAGTCACCTTAACTCAGCCACCACTCGATTACCTGGAGGGAAATAAGTCTTTTATCTTCTCTTCTACTTTTAAGTTCATATACTGACTTTTAAGCATCGGAGTGTATGCCGGTACCTCGCCGGCATTAACTCACTCTTTCTTTGTGCAAATCATCTTTAATCCAATCATACGAGTCAAGATTTCCTCTTTCCACTATTCACAATCCATCTGATCAAATTTGAACCACCTGAGTCAATTGACCTTGCTATTTTAAGCATCACACTTTTTCTTATAATTTCTTAATATAACTTGTTGGCCCCATCAATCTTCTAGGTCTACCCGTATGAAGGATAAATCAGTAGATATTGGATAAATTAATAATTTATTAAATAATATTATTTTAGGCAATTTCTCTCTTTGAATAGACAAAAATCTCGACAAAGAGAGTCATATATGATTTTTTCGGAGACAAAAATTGTTTTTCCTTTGATAGTAACTTTTTGTCTGTGTGTGTTCATTGCATTGTCTTGTACCCACAAAGTTTTCATAAATAAAATTCAAAAGCACTTAAAAAATAAGTAATTTAGATGGTGATAATAATGACAGCCAAGAATACAAAATTTAATGTGACCAACTTTTTATGGAAAAGTAGTTCAAAAAAATGTAGCTTCATTATTGAGATGATGACATCTTATACTTTTCAATATTTTATATAATAATGCAATGTAAAACATTTTTTTCTTCTTCTAGAATATAGAGTACTACGATTATAAAGGTATATATTTGAACCGATCTTGTAATTTAGAAAGGTTACTAATATCTTAATTATTTGAGTCGATAAAAATAAAACAAAAAAATTACGAACTCATCAAACACCAAATTAAACCTATTTCATGTTATAAACACAGTATTATTATAAGATAAAAGGTACCATCCCCATTGTAATTTACTTATATTATTAATTTCCTTATTTATCAAATCATTTGTTTATGAGGATTAATATCTTTATTACCATAAATAGATTTATGGTTTTTTTATAAACTAGATTTATGCATCATTAGTTATAAACAAAAATATATGTAGTAACTCTCATTTAATACATCTTAAAGAAAATATAGACTTTCAAAAAGAAAATTAAGAGTATTTCTCGGGTTAAAAAATTTGATAATGTGAAGAACTCGAGATGTAAGAACCCGTAGATAAATTCTCGATTTGGGTTGGATTTAAAAATGTAAGAACCGACCAATTCAGGTCGAAATCTTAGTTAGAGTATATGTTAATTATCGTTGAGTTAGGTTCGTTTTGACACTATCATTTTTCTATTAATGGATATGTATGAATTTTAAAGAGATATATATTTTAATATATGTGGGAGTAATATTTATACAATTGGAATAACTTCTCGTTCTCCCATATACTTGATACCACGTTGAGTCCTACGAGGATTAATTATATGAAATGTTGGGAAAACTACAAAATTTTGAACTCAAAGTCTCTTAAGATTATTCTATGATCTATACCATGTTAAATCGCGGTTGAAAAAGAGTTGATAGATTAAGATAAAATTAATAAAATTAATTTTTTTTTTGTTCAACGACATGTTACGGTGGAAATTTGAACCTCCTACTTTTATATTATTGATTAATTAGGCTATGTTTAATTTGGATCACGTAAAATTCATCTAATTTAATCCGTCAAATGTCATGCATAAACACTTTTTGAATATTATTAACGAAATTTTTACGGTTGAAAGCACATACAATCATAATGGATGAGGTCAATGGTAGCGAGGAGCAACTCACAAAAACATGGAGTTAAGGCAAAATTTTTTATACGGACCTTTGATCGTGTAGGTTAAATTATAAATTTGGTTCCTATAATTTGAACATAGTTTTAATTTTATTTTTGTAGTTTAAAAACTATACACATATATATAAAACACATCAGCTCATTGTCAGGTAAAAAATATGTTAATATATTAATAAAGGTAGAGATAATTTGCAAGGTTTTGAGAATGAATTGAAAATTTTAAATCATAAAAATCAAATTAAAATTATCCGCCATAGATACAAAATTTTTAAAACTATAATAATCTGAATCAAAATTTCCATTTGTAACATATTAGTATATTATATCAATTTTATTTTTCTTACTTCTAACATAAATTTTGATAATTTAATTCCATTATTATATTTTTTTTAATAGATGATATTGTCGACTCATTTATTTATTTATTTTTATTTTTTTGGTGTGGATCTTTTGTGAGTAATTGAATTAATTTTAGTTTTAAAAAGTTTCTTTGAAATTTTTGTTAATTTTAAAAATATATATATATTTAAATAATATATGTTTTATTCTATATTTTATAAAGATCGGTCAATTTGAGTACGCATAAAGTATATAAAGACGCCTACTATCATTTTCAAAGTTAATGTTTCGATCTTCATCTTGCAAGGGTTGAATTATATATATAAAATATTGATGAATAATAGATTTTTGAAAGAACATTTGTATTTACGGAAAGGAAGTGATGGTTAGTGTAGAATTGAATTAATTAAATATAAAATTATATCATTGCTCCTTTTTTTTCTTGGCACAACAATATGGAGAATGGATAATAACTTATACCATTTTCATTGAAAATATATCCTAAAATCATGTCGATGGTAATGATTTAAATATTTTTGTTGGTTATCTTATATTTTAAAATCACATTTATAATTATAAACTAAAATATATAGAAATCATTATTCAAAAAAAAGATGAGACTTTTGAAATTGAAGTCTTGATGGTCTCATTTGTCAATCACGAGCTTGTCCAACATACCATTTTTTTTTCAACAGTAGGATTAAAACAATAATACTTTCCTTTCTAATCCGTGAATAAGAATCTTTCGAATGCTAACTATATTATACATTTTTTATAATAAGATCTTGTATTCGAACTCGACGACTTAAAACAAACAATAATAAGAACATTCGACTAACTATTACTGAAAATTGGACAAAAACCCAATTATTATGGTTTATTATTATTTATTTATTTTTATTTTTATTATTTTTTTTGGCAAAAGAAAAACTTTCGTTTGTGCTCAATTGTGGGGAGTGGTGTGGCAGCTGAAGCAGAAGAAGAAGAAGACTGCTCCGTCGTTCCGTAGAACACGAGTGAGTTTCAGTTTTAAGTTTTATCCAATAATCTTTTCTTCTCCACTAATCAAAAGTTGTATCCATGGAACCACTGATCTGTAATTTTCATTCCCCCACAATTTCACCAATCCCTAAAACTTCTCCTCTGATTGCACATCCTCCGCCGCAGGTGCGCTTCATCCGCTGTCGGAGCTCCGGAACAACCCTGAAGATGGCCCACTCTGCTGCAGAAACTCCCGGTAACCGAACATTCTTACTTCAAACCCATTGATTCGATTCGATTCTTTAATTATGTTGCATTCTGCTGCTTCAAATTTGCCTTCTCTTCCCTTCCTTTTATTGTTAACATGGAGGGAACGGCATTAAAGTGACCAGTTGAAGTTTTTGATCGAACGTAAACCTACAAGTATGACTCTAGGTTTGTTATGGAAAGACAGAAATTTGTCCTGCATTTATTGATGCTAATTGCAGATGGCGTGTTCTGATAGATAATACAGTGGGTGTGTTTATAATTAGCAAGTAACTAATGATAAAACCAGGCTTAAATAAACTGTTACAGTTTGAAATGCAAGATTACTTAGTCATAACTTCTAATAGTGCATATATCTAACATGGGAATTGCACGTTTCAGTGGGTCAGCACCAGAAAGTCATAGTGCCCAACAAAAATGGTGAAAAACTCGTGGGTATACTTCATGATACGGGATCAGCGGATGTTGTCATTTTGTGCCATGGTTTTCGTTCAACCAAGGTTTGTAATTAAGACTATTAATACATTTCTCTAAATTTGGCTAACTTCGAAACCATGCTATCAAATATGTTTTCACTCTTCCTGTTAAAATTTGGATTCTTTGAAGCTAGACTTCTGAGAATCTGCTTTGATGGAAATAATTCGTGTTTCCAGACCAAGTCATATTTGATTTTACAACCATCAAACTATTGACTTTGGGGACTACATCTCAGTGATCTAACTTGCTTATGTGGCTTCACCTTGCTGAAGGTTTAAAAGCTTACAACTTATGGTTTTTATTTTCAGGAAAATGATATAAGCGTAAACCTTGCTAAAACATTAGAAAATGAAGGAATCAGTGCCTTCCGTTTTGACTTTTCTGGAAATGGGTAAGCCAGGTGTATATTTGGTGTAATTTTCTTTTGTTCTTCCCACATATTACCAGTTATTTGTGACTTTTTTCCCACGATAGTTTTCACATTTTGAATGCTTCTTTACCCCCAAAATAAGAGCGTATGGAATAGCTATAAGGATAAGAGCCTAGCCAATTATTAATTTTGGTTAAGGTACAAGGCACTTTATTGTGCTGGCAGATGAACATTTTTTAATCTTGTATTATCAATCAAGGTAATAACTTGCCACATTTATCATCTTTTGACAGACTACATCACTTTATTTTGCTATTTGCAATAATGTTGCAGCAGCCAATGACATGTCATATCATCATTTAGCTAACAACATTAACAACAAAAAATATATAGAATCACAAGTCAAAGTTCAATGAAATAATTAATTTTTTTCAAGTTTATGGACTTAGACACAACCATCAAAGTTTTAGGAACTAAATTAATGATTTAACCAAAAGTTTTTCATTTGGTGCTTATATTACGAGGGAGATAACAGAGCAGATAGAATACAGCATAAATGTCGAATATGACCTCGAAGCCAAGTTGTAACATTCTTTGCACCGCACAGGGGCTGAGGCTGATTAAAATCGTCTGTTCTATCAATGTCCTTACAGTAAGCATTGTTTGTATTTATTATTTTAGCACCTTGGGTAATCATGGGCTATGTATAGATCAGCAAAGGAGAATCTCTCGGTAATAGAAAAATACTAGAAAGGAAAGCTGAGACCGTTTGGTTTAGTACAACTATGGCAATCTGCAATCCTATGTGGATTATGGTTTGAGAGGAATAATAGACTACTCAATGAGAAGAAAACAGTGTGGGAAAAGGCGTATGATATGGCTAAACATTGCACTTTTTGGTGTTCCTCATGTAAGTCCTTGTGTAATTATACTCTGTAGTAAATAAAGATTGGGATGGTTTTCTGTAAGCTTTTAATGGGAGTGTTGTTTTTTACTGTATATATTAGCTGCATTTTTTTTCTTTTTTTGGTGATAAGAATATATATATATATATGACTAGGCACAAACAGCCTAGGGGCAGAGGATGAGGAAGCCCCTCCCAAAAAAGTAATGAAATAAGCCTTCCAATATTAGCTACACCAATCAAAATTCTTTTTGTTTCAAAACAATATATAGGCTGTGAATGGGCAGTCTTGTGAGTGTTTATGTCAAGCCTCTGCTCAAGCTGCTTTACTTGTGAATATTGTCTTACAGGGAAAGTGAAGGTTCATTTAAATACGGTAACTATAATGGAGAGGCTGATGACTTGCATGCCATAATCCAACATTGGCGTGCAGCAGGCCGTGTAATAAGTGCAATTCTTGGGCATAGCAAAGGTTGTCAATTAGTTCTATATGCTCAGCACCTGAAACTGCTCTTGTCGCACCAAATAAACTGTAGTAAATATTTAAAGCCAAAATTATGTTTACTCTATACTGTTGAGAAGCATCCACCACAACTTCATTAAGAAGTAGCGAGCTAGATTATGATTGAGTAATACATTTTTATCCCATAGGCTAGAAATTGAATGATAGGTCTAGATTGCATCTATCTCTGTGTGGAATATGTTCTTATAGTATTTTGAACCCAGATACTTACAAAGAAAAGAATAGAAAAAGGGCTATCAAGACATTGCCAGAGTACTGGGACTAGGTTTTATTTGCTTTCTAAATTTCCATTAGGGAAATACTCGTGTTGCAAACAAAGTAGTAGCCTGTGTGTTGATGATGTTTGACAATGTCAGTGGCATCAGAAGAAGCACAACTTGTTTATTTTCACAGTGGTGCGGTTTGAACTTTAAAGCGTTGTAAAGTACACATCTAACTTTCATTATTATTGTTATTATTACAATTTCTAGAAGTGAGAAAAAAAAAACCCCCCACTACTGTTAGAAGTCATTCTACATGCTCTTAATCTCTTTAGTTAAAATCCATCTCTTGTAATGGTTTGATATTTTTATTTTTCTTAGACTACGGGCTTCACTCTGCATATTATGAGCTTCACCAAAATTGTATAGATAAGTTGCAGTGTTTTAACTTTTAAGCGTAGAGTGAAATTAGAACTTTAATGACTTCTTTGTTCAAGCTCGTTTAATAGACTAAGGAATACACAGATCAACCAACACAAGATATTTGTTACTAAATTAAAAGTTTATGCAATTTCTTTAAAAATAAGTGACGTAATTGTGAACAAATTAAATGCAGGGGGTGACGTGGTGCTTCTTTATGCTTCCAAGTATCATGGTATCAGTTTTGTTATCAATGTTTCTGGACGTTATGATCTGAAAAGAGGTATAAAAGAGCGCTTGGGGGATGAATTTATGCAAAGAATTGAAAAGGAAGGATATATTGATGTCAAGAATAAGAAAGGTATCTTTATTGCAGTTATTTTTCACAATTTTATGGGTTGAGTAATCCTCCAGTCATATATCTTCTACAGTTGAACTTAATTCTCATAAATTTTGGTTGAGGCATGTCCATACATATAAAACACTTGTTTTCTTGTATGTCTAAATCAACATTTGGTTAACATTATATTTCTTTTCAGGAACAGTAGAATATCAAGTGACGTTGGAGAGCTTGAAGGACCGCTTAAACACTGATATGCATGAAGCTTGTCTTCGTATTGACAAAGAATGCAGGTAAGAGAGAGTTGATCAATTTCTTTACGCCTTCCCTCATGTTTGCTTTATTGCTAAATCTACTACATGTTCACTTTAGAAATTTTATTGAGATATTTTCTATGGATATTTTTTTTAGTGAATGTTGTTGATATTAGCCCTCTAAATGGCTCAAATTAGGGAGATTGGATCTCTGTATAAAGTTGGCATAGATGTTTCTTGATTAATGTTGTTCGAGGCACCAGTCATATTAGTTAATGAGCCAAGCAGGAGCTGTCTTACTGGTTGGCTCACTGGCCTAAATACGATAAGCAAGGAATTATTTTTTCTTTTGATTTGCTAGATAAATGCCCACTTCCCCCTGTCGTAAAAAATGAACTGAATAATAGGAGAGGTATAAAGATGCAATAAGTATTGGATTTCTTCTATTAATTAATTTTAGAAATTTCAAATATTTGGTTGAGGTGAGGCGAATATTTCTTGTCTCTGTTCCATGGATCTGTTGAGAAGATTATTTCCAAACCATCTGGTGGATGAGAAAATTCTTGTTGGATCATGCCCTTTGCCTCTCCCCTGTTTTCTTGGAACCCAGAAAACTTAACTGATGAAAGATGATATTTGATTTTATAGGGTGTTCACAGTCCATGGATCTGCTGATGAAATAATCCCTGTTGAAGATGCATTTGAGTTCGATAAAATCATACCAAACCATAAGCTACATGTCATAGAAGGAGCCAATCACAGTTACACCTCACATCAAACTGAATTAGCCTCAATTGTTTTGAATCTCATTAAAACAATGTTGCAGCATTGAAAGGATGATGCTCGAGTAAGTACTTTCAGCCATCAGCTAACAAATGCTTGTTGCTAGCCTGTTAAGTAGAGCTACTTCATACAGGTTCCTGATGGATCTTGTATTAGAGGAATAATTACATTTATATTGTGCCACAGTTTACCTCATCCTCTGTGGGGTCACTCTCATCTCTCCCTTCTCCGAGCTTGGGTTATGGAAGAAGCAACCGAGAAGAAAGTATTAGCAATGACAGGTTTTATTACGGCACAGCTCAAGAGGTTCATGTCGATCTATTATATGCCTCTGCATCTAGCATTGGATAGACCTCATACAATAGTTGTTTTAGTTCTATCGTATCTTTTGTTTCATTTCTTCTAGAACAATCACAAAAACTTACGGATCTACCATAAAAAACTCAATACTTAATTTTAGTATTCGATGTGTATTCTTGAATAATCCTATTTTTCAATCATTCAACTGCTGCACTGCGGTAAGTTAAAACTGTTAGGAGGAGCGATTGATATGGATTCTATTTTTGCTTTTGATTGGCCAAAGTTAATCTCTTTCCATTCCTCATGAATGAATTTTTGTGGTGTACATAGCAGAATAGTTGGATTCTTTCTTATATTATTACTATTTGTTGGTGGAACTTAGAATAGTTGAATGTCAAGCTGAGGCTGAGTTTTCTGAGCTATAGAATTGGCATTTAGGGAAAGTTACAGAGATATTTCTATAAAAATATCGAATCATTCTTGAAAGGTGATTTGTTGCTTTTTGTTATTAAATTTTATTTCACATTGAGTTTCCTCTAAAAGGAAATTTCTGTATATTTAAAGTTTAATTTGATAATAAAAGGTTCCTTTTTTTTGGTAAAGTGAAATTCTTCTTTGCTAGATATATTTTTTGGTTCAATAAAATAATTGCTGCTATCAATGGAATGGCTTCTTTGTGCATCAAATTAATGAGAAATTATTCGATATTGTCTATACTTTTTTTATTTTATTATTATTCTCTTTTTAGATTATTATATTCTCTTTGAATTCTTGGTCTCCTGCAGGACTATGAAATTTTTATTTTTATTTTTATTTTCTAGGAATGGTGAAGCTAACCTAGCATTTGCTAGAATAAATATTTACATAATTGTCGACCTATATATATTATATGTTTAGTATAACAGGTGAGGGTGGGGATCGAAGTCACAACCTCTTAATGGTGCAAAAAGAAAAAGCAGTAACAATGAAATTGAAGATTTAAAAGTCAATCTGAACATAACTTAAGATAGACTCGGACCTACGATCTCTAAAGGAATATAATTTAACTCTTTAACCATTGAGCTATGCTCAGATTGACAACCTCTTTAAGACAAAAATTGATTTATTGAGTATTTATACAATAGTAAATCATAATTAAAAATATATAAATAATAGGTTAAATTATAAATTTGGTCTTTAAGTTTTGAAGGGTGTGCCTAATCATTGTCACTGGGTTTTTAAACTTTTAATTTTTGTATTTAATAATTTTTAGAGGTTATAATATTTTTAAATATGAAATTGAAAGTTAATATACTAGCTTAGGGCTATGTTAGACAAAATATTGAAAACTTTAAGAAATTATTATAAAGTTTAAAGACTTGTTAAACATAATTAATTCGTTTTAGAAAACAAGGGGCAAGGAACGTAATTTCACACCGGGTTTAGAAAAACTTGTTTTTGACAGAAACCATGTCAAATTTCATTTGAGCTCAAATTTTGTAGTCTTTGGAAAAACCCAAACTTATAATTTATGGTTTTTTTCTTTCTTTTCTTTATTACACATAATTTAAGTTAAATAATATCTCAATCGATAGAGTACGAACTTAGGCAAAATTTATAAGCATAGAATTCCACGAGGTTTAGTCATTTCCCTGTCTTATTCGATTTCTTCTAGCTCCATTAGCATCCACAGAGAAAATGTTAAGTTTAAAAAAGAGAATTCGAAATATAAATATAGACGTATAAAATTGAGGAGCAAAATGAAGCATTACGAGTACATAAACAACAAAATAATACAAAAATTAGACAAAATATAAAATTAGAAATAGGAAATTGATACAATTTTCTTGATTTTTCTTTTTTCTCCCTCTCCAAATCTCGAATTGCCACTATTTATAGGTAATTTGGAACAATTGGACACTAAGAATGGAGGGAAATTAGACACAAGGAACTTCTGTATAATAAACACGTGGAGCAACGATATTATGACGCCTTTTAATTTGGACATTAAACTCTAATAAGACATATTTCCGCATGTTGGCAAGGACTTGAGATCTTTTGGTCATACTAGCTCAGAAGTCTTCCAGTGAGCTTAATACCAAAAATCTTTGATGTCTTTCGAGTTCTAGCTAGAACGGAAACGGACACATGTGCCTTTAAACATAGAGGAGCAAAGCTCCGACTCCCGTTCTCAAAAAGAGAAAAAAAAAAAATAAGACACATTTTCTTCACATGGGTGAGTACTGAGAAGTGAGAAGATAAGATAACATCCAAATATATGAGAAAGTTTAGTACAAATTCCTTGGTTTTATCTTTATGGCTCCACTTCCAAACCCACACCGATCACCAAAGCAATTCTCTTCAACCTTTCTCCTTATAATCTCTCCCATAATCTGTGCCTAAATTTGGGAGAATCAATTCATAACTATACTAGTAGAATCAATTCTCTACTTCCTCCAAAAATGGCCGATTCTGCTCAAACTTCAGGTAAAACATCTCAATATCATCCTCCTACTTTAATACCACATCCATAAATGTTTTAAAAACTGCCTAAATTTCATGTTGCATTTCGAGTTCTACAAAAGTCTTGTTCTTGCTCTTTCCCTTTTCTGTTGTTTTAAATTCTCGACTGATCTCACAGAATAACTACGTGACCCTCCAATCGCTATTTTATATTGGTTTACGAAGATTTCCTTCGAGTGTCTCGTTTGTCAGATGCAAATGGACTAGTTTGTAGTTTGATGTTGATTTTGGGATTGCATAAATAAACCACTGCCACAGTGCCTCAGGAAAGGAAGGTCATTGTGAATGACAAGTCTGGTGGAAAGCTTGTGGGAATCCTACATGAAGCTGGATCTGTGGACATTGTTGTCCTCTGTCATGGATTTATGTCATCAAAGGTTACAATCTTTGTTTCATGTGCATTCGTTTCTAAACCCAAAAGTGGCGTTCTATATTTTGTTTGGAAGGTTTGGCTCTTCGCGCTGTGCTGTAGAATTACTTGTTAATGATTGAACTTCGATACGTGCTTGTTGTGTTTTGTTGTTTTCAGGATGATGAAGTTGTGGTGAATCTTGCTGAAGCATTGAACAGAGAAGGAATCAGTTCCTTTCGGTTCGACTTTTCTGGCAATGGGTACGCGTTGTGTAGAATTTGTTAATCAACGGACAGTAATTTGTATAGTTTGAAAATTTCTATCTCAGTGATCATATGTATGGTAAGTCTCTTGGTTCATACAAGGATATGTCAACTATGGGAAAAAACTAATGAGATGTTTGTGTTCTTCTGTTTTGACTTTGAAAATTGTCTAATGTTCTATGTTCTAAACTTGAGCTCATTCACTCTTGGATATTTACTCGTTAGAGAAAGCGATGGTTCGTTTCAACTTGGTAATTATGGGAGCGAGGTCGATGATCTACATGCAGTTGTCCAATATTTCAATGTAATAGGTCGTGCAGTACGCTCAATCATTGGCCATAGCAAAGGTCACCCTTCTCCCCCAAAATATACACATATATACATATTTGACGAAGAAACGAAGAGGACTTCTTCTCAAACAACTGGCTTATCTTCTGTATTTGTATGTCTTTATTTTGTACTTTCAGGTGGTGATGTCGTGCTTTTATATGCTTCCAAGTATAAGAATGTTAACATCGTTATCAACGTTTGCGGACGTTATGATATGACGAAAGGCATTGAGAAAAGCTTGGGGGAAAATTACCAGGAAGAGATGGACAAGAAAGGTTTTGTTGATATCAAAAATCCAACAGGTATTTGTTACTTTGATCTCAAATCCTTTACTTTGATTACCTGAATAAAAATCAGACGAACCATTTTCCAGGAACAGTCAGTTATCAAGTGACAGCGGAAAGTTTGATGGAGCGTCTAAATACCGATATGCATCAAGTGTCTTCGCATCGATAAAGAATGCAGGCAAGAACACCCATAAATTTCTTCATCTAGAGTATCATTTCTGATGTTATGGGAAGGATTTTTTACTTGTGATCATTGTACAAGTCACCAATAGGGATGGACCGATGGCAATATATGTTCTTATGATTATCAATCATCAGTTAAAGATCTATTCACCATCATCATCTCGGTTCTCGCATTTACAGCTTCGCCGATGAATAAATGACAATGTTTGTACAGGGTGTTGACAGTCCACGGAACTGACGATGAAATAATCCCTGTCGAAGACGCTCTCGAGTTTGACAAAATCATTCCTAATCACACAATATACATTTTAGAAGGAGCTGACCATAACTACGCCAGAAAGTCGCATCAAGCGGAGTTAGCCACAGTAGTTTTGGAGTTCATCAAAACATCTCTGCAGCAGGAAGATGCTGCACTAGAAGACGATAACCTCTATTTTCCTTCTGCACACATGTGAAGAAGATCATATTCAAGATTTTCGACATGGAGAGTGATATCTGTATGCTTTGAGCTTAATGATGCTGGTAATGGTATTAGTTTTTCATCTATGAGATGATAAGTGCAATGAAAATTACAGTGTTCCTCACCTTTTATCAAGTTCCGTGAGCAGCAGAATTTTAAGGGAAAAACTTCTAAATCTCAACTTTCAGTACATGTACTTTTGAACTCGAGGAAAACATAGACAATTTCATCATTCCTTTACTCTCGGATTTGCCTCTTATCTCCTATTGTAAACACAAGTGTGAGGCATGCGTAATAACAGATCCAATAACGACTTGAATTTGTGGTTCAAGGCATCAAGTGTATATATATTGAGCTTGAGCATAACAAATGGTAAGGTTCTTCTATGGTTTGATTTAAATTGCATGAAAAATTTGTAATATAAGCCAAGGGTAAAGCAGGTCGGTTCGGTTAGTGAAGAAACTAGGGACCAAATAACTATTTCTATCTATATAGCAGGAGTAAGACATTAAAATAAGTTGATCTAAAGATAATTGTTTTACTCCCAGTCTTTACTCTGCATATCAAATGTAAATTGCTAAGTAAGGAGAGACTATGATATTGATGTGGCAAAAGCAGTCGCACATGTTAACCTCCTGTGCTATTAAAGATATCTTAACAATACTAATAATGTTAGGATGTACTCGTACCTTGGTCCTAAAATAATATTGGTTTGTCCAAAATGAAAGGAATTTTGTACCACCAATGTTGCCTTTCTCGTGATGTCTACTCTAGTTGCCCGGTTTCAAAGCGATCAAAAATTGGCATCACCGCCAAATATATCCAATTTCGCCTACAATCCTGCATTCTTTGAGAAGTCCAGGCTCCACATTGATATCCGGACACATGGACAACCCTTGAAGTCGTTTCTAATTTTCTACCACCAGAAAAGAAAGATTATTCTTCCAAGAGTCATTTCCCATTTCTCTTCTCTTCCTGAAATCAGGAGTAGCACAAATGAGATAGAGCACACGGTCAGTCTAAGTAGCAAAGAACTCATTGTCGTACCAGTTCAGACTTCAGCAGATCAATTTTTTCTTCTAAATCTAAAATATGGTGCTTCAGTGCCTAGCAAGAGAAAAGGCAATACATATAAGGAAACGGTTTAGACAGTCATATAGACATGTAAATTCAGTACTAAATTAATAACGGTTACCTCACGCCTCTGTAGTTCAATTGATCGAGCCAATGCCTGTCTTCTTGTCAACATGTTTTTAGGCCTCAGTGCATCAGGACGGGTATAGTTTTTCCCACGATAGAAAATAACTGCATAACCTTTGATAGTTTTATCCAAGGAAATCACCACTCCACCGCTCTCTGCTTCCAGAGAGATCGCTATATGTTTGACTTGTTGTAGAGTTTTTCCTCTCACAATTATCTTTACCAATTCTCTGAACTTCCAATGCAAGTGCATGTTCTCAATGGTGCCATCATAAACACCTCGCCTCCCTAAAAGGATGATTGATAAAATTTCAAATTCTTTCCACGAGAAAAAGTTGACGTTTAGAATTAGGATGGGAATTTTTATACCTAAGAGCAGATATGGTTTCATGCTCAAACCAATCTTACGGAATAGAAGTCTTTCTTCATCAGTTATGGTTTCTAAATCAGTGGGGAGATCTGCTGGTTCTTGCTTCCCCTGCAATTTTGCTATACTCTTCTCAGCATTTTTTACTTTCCACTTTGCCTGTTATCACCATAAATTCACAGTTAAAAGATCCATTTCAAGCAAGAAATTTCAGTACCACAGCCCTTTCACCTCTAGATGTCATTAAGTGCATTTTGTTACTCACAAGAGCTAGTTTCTTCTCAAGGTATCTGATTAGGGAATCAAGTTTTGCTAAAGCTGAATCTTCTCTCATATTCTCAATATCTTGACTGCTTCGTTGGCTTCCCCAGCGAGAAGTTGCCGCTACGGTTTCAGCAAGTGTTCCAGCAACCAATGGAACATTTGAAGCTTTGACTTTTGACTCAACTGAAGGTGAAGCCACCTGTCGTACCTGCTCTTCCACTTCTTGCTGAAGATCTGCTAGCTTCCGCCTCTCTTTCACTGCTTCTGTGATAGTGGGTGGCAGGTAATCGTTGCCTCTATAGAACACAATATATTCCTTGTTTCTAGAGAGCAGCGTTCCCCCTGTCAATATCTGCATGCATAAATTAACCATTAGCAGAAAAAGAGAAATAACAGTCTACAATGACGATAAACCGAGGTTAAACATAACTACCAAAATAAACCTTTAGAATAATGTATGGTAAATTGATAATAGAATGCCTAAAGATCCTGAAAATTACAAGATTTTAGCAACAACACACCTGGAGGGACATTCCAAAATTTTATACGAAAGAATTGAGACACAACCATGTGCAAGTGTACTTTTTGTCCCCCTCAACATGATACTTGCATTCACAAGATTTTTCAAATTCAAGAAGCATCATTATTATGCCTCACCTTGAGTTCTTCTGCCATCCTCTCATTACGTGTATTTTCTACACCCCGTTTTATAGCAATCTTTGCAATTGCACATTTCTCCCATAGCTGCACCATAGCATTGGCCAAACCTTGCAGTTGTCTACTTCTTCCTGTGAGAATTATAGAAAAGATCTTAAAAAGGACATTAGTACTAACAAAACATGTGCACTTGCATACAAATAATATGATTGTACCTAAAGCAAAATGTGGAGGCATTTTTCTTGCAAGCCTACGGAATACTGTCACCTCCTTATTCCTGAGACAATGTCTCACCCCATAAGGCAGAAGTCTAGTTGGAGGTTTGTATCCCGGAACTACAGCAGGAAGCAAGTCTGCATCAATGGGCAACGGCTCACAGCCTGACCAATCTTTAAAGCGCGGACCTATCTCATCTAACAAATGGTTCAACTCATTCAACTCCGTAAGTTCACTTTTAGATAACGTCTTTTGATGCTTCGAAGCACCAGCAACAATTGTATTTGTAGTTCCAACTACGTTTTTAACCTTTACATCACCCGTAGCATGATATTCTACATTATTCGAACCATTCAGTTCAGAACTTTTAGCTTGATTTTGTTTGGCAAAAGATTGAACACAAGGCAAGTGGTATGTCATTCCCCTATACAGTACTATCATACTACCCGACCTCCATATGACCAGTCCGCCAGTTTTATTCTGATAAAAAAGCATTCCATGTCAGCCACTGGGATAATGTTCATTATTAATTCAGATCTAAGACAGAAACCATATTGAACTTAAGAATGCTAAATCATTCTTAAGAATGCTCAGAAACCATATTGAACTTACAGAGGGAACAGAAAAGTTATAAAATTCAGAAAAATATATATATATATATGGTTTGACTTATAAAAGTAGTATATAAAAGCTTACCTCTAACGTCTCGTGCGCCCTCTTCATGTTGACGATTAGCGGCCCATCAAACTTCAGCTTGACTACTTCATCTACTTTCCACTTTTCATGAATGGTATCCACCAGTTCTTGAGTTATACCTGCAACTCCCACTTCTATTCTTTCCAGCATTCTCAAAGAAACATTCCTGAGCCTCCGCAATTCGTGCTCGGGAAGCATTTGCTCAGCCAATATCGTTTTGCTTCTTCTCTTATCTGCTTCTTCAGAATTCCTTCGCGGCTCTCTCTTCCATGGCAAATCAACCGGATCACTGCAATCATTACCAGAGCTGACGGACTGTACAAAATTTTCGCTCGACGCCGAACGTTCTTCTATAGCCGGTAGAACATTCAGACGTACAGGATTAATTTCCTCCTCGTCCTCCGAAAATTCCACCAAAATTTCATCAGTACTTTCGCCAATTTCTCCATTCGATTCTCCACCACGACAAGGTCCATCGTCAAAAGATTTCGTACTTGCATCGAAATTCCTTACACCATTAGCAGAGTTCTCGCATATCTCATTAAACACTTCACCTTTTGGCGTTTCACGATTGAAATCGAACTGCAGATCTCTGGATTGGCTGCCGTGAACCCAAGGGGCCGAAATCCCGCGAGTTGTAGAAGCAACACGAACCGCTGGGGTTGCATCGTTTCGCGGCTCACGTTCTAAGACAGAAGATTCGCTGCCAACCTGCTCTATCACTTCCTCCTCCTCCTCCTCCGGAGGTTCTCTCCGTTGTTTTTGCTGCTGCCATGGGAACTTATCTCTTGAGGAAGTCGGTTTTATCGACCACTTGTTACGAATTTGCTCGAGGAAGCTAGGCCTGGGCTTCCGCTTCTTCTTCACTTCAAAATCCACTCGGATTCGGCGAGGTGGTTCAGTGTCAACTTGAATGGCGTTGTTAGAACAAGAAATTTTGAATCTAGAAGGCGTGAAAACGATTGAAGATTGGATTTCAGAATGGCGAAGAAGAAAGCAGAAAGATGGCGATGGCGAATGCAAAAAACAAGAAGACGAAGCAGCAGAAGTAGAAGGATTCGATAAAAATGGCGAGAGCGCCATAGTAACGGGGATCTGAAGCTGAATTTGTCACATTTCGCCAAAATTATCGACTGAAAAATAAATAAATAAAATATATAACTTAATTGGAAATAAAGGTAAAAAACATCTTGCACCAGCCGGGAATCGAACCCGGGTCTGTACCGTGGCAGGGTACTATTCTACCACTAGACCACTGGTGCGTCGATGAAATACCTCGTGTTGTTGTAAAATTAACAATTATCAATTTTGGTCTCGATGAATATTTTATTTACCTTAGAGAGAAAAAAATCTAATCTAAGAGTAACTTGTTAATAAAAAGGAAGTTACGAGATAATTGAAAAAAATATATATATTAAATTATAAATTTAGTGGTTGAAGTTTGATTATTGTATTTATTTAGTTGTTATACTTTAAAAAAATTATACAATATTTGAGGTGAAGTTGATAACGAATAAGAAAGGAGGGAAAATTTCATGATATTTCTCTTAAGCATATGTGTTGGATTAGTCGATATTGTACTAAGTTTGTTACGAGTTTTAGTTATTATCCTTTATATTCTAATTTGTATTGTTTGAGCATTCCTTATGTTGAACATATTTCTCACTATGATGTGTATTATGTATTTTTAATATTCCTTTCACACTTTTACGGTATTGAGGTATCACAATTTACAAATTTTTCAATACTTTCTTTACTATTTTATTCTTCTTCAATGACGTCAAGAGTAAGTTCCTCGAATTGATCTATACAAATGACTAGTTCTCAGGAGTTTTAAGACTCGACCTATTCTCTCCACTCCAGTAACAACATCGATTCTTACTCCCTTCCATTGCCAAACGATATCATTGATTGTTCCAAATTCACCTAATTTCATTCCTCGTTCACATTAGATACTACCCTACATGCCACAACAACAAATATTTAGAAAGCTTGAGATTTTGTAAACTTTCTATGCTTTTCCCCCTAACTTTTATATTTTTAGATTATATATACAAACAAAAATTTCAATGGAAAACGTTTTAAACAACTCCTTTGTCATGCCAACATTTAAGTAACGATGATAATGGAAAAACTTACACAAATATTTTTAATTAAAACATCTAAGAATTTTGAAAAAATTTTAATACAACAACATGTGGAATTCTCAACTGTTAAAAGGTAAAAAATAGATAAACGTTACGTTGTGACATTTATTTCTCTTTTTCAACGAATATTGATTCTTTAACTAGTTGAGCAACATGAATTTTAAAACTTAAATATACACCTATGACCATCATTTTAGGAACTAAAGTTCTATTGTTCTGTTCATTGAAGTTCATCCAAATCCAACGAATCCAATTAATATTACAGATGAGGTTCATTTGACAAATTTATAGAGAGAAAGATATACCATACCATACTACCAACCTCTTATGTTTTCCCACTCCTCGTCATAAAAGCTCCAACAAGAATTAAAATGATTGTTTAAATAAATATTATTGACTAAAATGAAAAAACCTTAAAAGACATTGATTTACTAATTTTAAAATTAAAATATAGTTGGACAAAACATCAATTATGTTCTTTTTCACATTATATTTGTCGTATTACATGTAAAATAAAAAATAAAAAATTCCTACATTTTTGAAGTAAAAGGGCTGGCACTATGTAGAATGAGATTTAAACCTATTTTATTTTTTACTAAACGTACCAAATAGTCTCTGATCATTTGTCTTTAATTTAATTGAAAATTCTAAGTTAAATAATTGTTAAATTTTGTTAACAAAAAGTTAATACATTATTAGATTTTTGTTTCGTTAACCTATTTGGAAACTTAAATACGGTACTTGAATGCTATTAAAGTACTGGATCCATGAATTTCAATTACCCCATTACCAAAATTTATTTCTAGTAGTAGATCTAACTGACATATTATTACGGAGTCGAGATATCTGGATTATAATTGTACGCTCTCATGCGATCTTAAGCACTACTTTTCTTGTTTGCGTTTTTGTTTGCTCTTATCACTCGACAGTCGACGACTAAAATTTCTCAATCCTGCACAAGCTTTCTCGAACAAAGAGGAATGAAAGCTAATATTTCACTGTTTTCGTTATGAGTTTTGAAGCGTAAGCCACTTACACAAATGCTTATGAATTTAATAGATGATGTTATCATCAATGGAACGAATATTCATACTCCTCTAATATAAGGAATTTATAGGATACGATACATAGGTCCAAATGTGTTAACCAACAATAATTCAATGACATGTCAACTTTCTTTTAACGAATTTAATAAGATTGGACGAGAAAATGCAGTCACATTATTAGTATTATTTTAACTAGTAAGAAGAGTAAATAGGCACATGTTTTATTCATTTATGAAACCTATCCCAAAGTCTACCCCAAAGTCCATCCCTCACCACCAACCTAATTTATTTTCTACCCTTTAGGGAAAGACAGATTTAAGAAGAGGGAGCAAAAAAAAAACTAAGTACTACCAACCAACCTTATATTTTCATTCACTACTCTCTAGTCTCCAGCATAAAGCTCCGCCGTTCTCCCCAAATTCTACCCCGCCGCCGCCGCCGCAGTTCCGGCATGTGGACTTCCTTCGCCGCCTGGGCCACCCCCACCACCCTCTTCATCCTCGTCAACGCCGTCATCGCCGTCATCGCCCTCACCTCCCGATTCGGCGCTCCCAAAACCTCCCACCGCCGCCACCTCCACGGCGGCCCCGCCCTCCTCCGCCCTCCGTCCCTCTTAGACAGAGTCAAATCCTTCGACTTCTCCCTCTACTACAACTCCGGCCACTGCCCCGACCCGAACCCGGATCCCAACCCGGCCCAGCTCGCCCGAGCTCCGTCCGTCTTGGACCGAATCAAGTCCATCGCCCTCCACAGATCCGATTCCAATTCCTCCGCCCGCGAAACAGAGCATCCGCAGCACCAAAAACCGAGCCCGGAGCAAACTCACGACCACATCGTGAACCGGAGCAAGTCCGATTCCGGAACCCATACTCCGACGGCTCTGGAGATGAGTTTCCGGCGGCGGTTACAGAAATCGCTGAGCGAGAAGCTGACGTGGGCGCCATTCACGGCGACGGAACCGCCGCAGGCTGAAACAGAGGAAGCGAGCGTTATCGAACGGCGTCGTCCGGCGACGTCGAGGGCGGAGATCGGCGAACGGGAAACGGCGCCGGGGGAAGAGGAGGAGGAGGAGGTGGACGCGAGGGCGGACGATTTCATCAATAAATTTAAGCAGCAGCTGAAATTGCAGAGGCTGGAATCTCTGCTGCGGTACAGAGACGCGATTAAGGGCAAAAAATGAGGTTCCTCTTCCTCGGGTTTAGTTTATTTTCTCGTTTTCATTATTGGGTTTCTCCTCTTCTTTTATGCGCTCGTTTTGTGAAGTGTTCGTGTGTTGGCTAATTTAGTAGCTTTTTCGTTTTGTGTGGAACATCCGCCATTAATGGCGAAAACTGGGTGCTCTGGTTTTAGACGAAAAGGGGAAGACAATGGTGCCGCCGACCGGGGCTCATCGGTCTAATTTCCCGCCGCCGCAACGCCGGTTTATGTGCTTACGATTTTTCATCGGTTTAGGAACTTCTAAGATTGAAATGAAGTTTGGGTTCCAATCCTAAAAAATGTGTGAGGGAATGGATCTGCAACATTCTTGAAACTCGGAGTTTGTCGCTTTTTGCCCCGAGAAAAAAATAATAATAATAATTAAAATGTATTTCGATTTAGATTTTAACTTGTAATGACTTCCATTAAATTTAATATTTAATCTCTCCATTTTAATTTGTAATAATTCAGTATCTACAGTAAAAAAATCTAAATGTGTTTTTGATCGGTAAAAATCTAAATTCTTGTATTTTGTTAATTTTCAATAGCAGTCCATGTGAAGAATTCTATTAACCATTGGTAATATTGTTTTTTACCAAACCTACCATGCGAACATGAACTCGACATGCCAAACTTAACCCGTCACTTAATTTTTATTTTTCTGAGTGAAAATTAAAATAGGATAATTATTAAGGAAGGAAGATAAATCACAACATTTTGTACGTCATATCAAAGGGAAATATATGTTAACGTTGTGTTTGTGTGTTAAAAGTTATCATCTTTGACTTAGATTTTTAACTTCTTATAATGTGCATTTACATTTTTTTTTCCTTGAAAGTATAATGTGCATTTACTATTTTGACGATGAATTGAAAATGTAAGTTAATATGTTATTATGTACCTATGATTAAATTGTACTAATTTTATGTCAATCTAAGATTAATTCAATGATAAATTGAAAACACGTCTCTAATCAAGTGGTCGAGTTTGAATTCACCCCACTTCTATTTGTTGTAAAAAAAATGATGTATTAACTTTATTTTGTTTAAAATATTATATTATATTATAAATTCAAATTTATTACTTGTAAAAAAAGTCAAATTTATAATTTGTATAGAAGGTAGAGGTTAATTAGTGTAATTAGTGTAGAATAACTTTATTTTGAATACATGTTCTAGTAGCATCTAAAGATTAACTAAATCTTGATGTATTTTTTTGGTTTAACTAAAGGAATGAGGATAAACAATAGAAAGAAAAATAAAGAGGGTAACTAGAATTTAATTATAATAGCGACAACACTATATATATCGTAATATGATAATAAGAATTGGAGCATTTTAAAAATATTAAATTATAAATTTAGTTATGAACTTTTAAAGTTCTACTTATTAGGTTTAATTTTTGAATTTGTGTCTAATTAATTTTCGAACTTTCAAATTTGTAGGTAAAAAACTAACATCTTATACATTTATTATATTTTTTAAAAAGTTAAAAACCTATTATTTAATCATAATAGAAAGTTTTGGGATCAAATTTATAATTTGTCTAAAAATATTGTTTCTCTTTTTAATTCAGCAAAAGAATGGGAGTGTTCAAATAAATAGTGTTGTAACCAATTAACTATGTTCTTGTTAGCGAATAATGATAATATTTTGTTGAATTACAATTCGTATTAAATTTTCATTGATATGTCGATATTTTCACATACCCATGAATTAAACATCGACATAAGATGAATCGATATTTCAACTCTATTGTAAAAAAATCGACGAAATGTTTAAAATATCAACAGAATATCATTAATAAACATATAATATTAAAAAACAATAATTTTAAACTTATTTATAAATGGTAAAATACAGTTTTGTTAATTCAAATAATTTTTTATTTTATCATTATTTTAAAAATATTCATTAATATTGATATCTTATCAATATTTTCATAAACATTGAGACCTTGATATTTTCGTKACTATCCACGTTTAAATTTTACTTTGACTTAATTAAATAAATTGTCAATGTAAAGACATCTCAACAGTAATTAATATATATTCATTTCTAGATATCGAAAATCTCGATTCATTATTATTATTATTATTATTATTATTAGGTTAAAAAATTTGGTCATTGTACTTTCACTAAAGTAACAATTTAGTTCTTTATGTAACAATTTAATCACTGTAATTTAAAGTTGGTAACAATTTAGCCTTTATCGTAGTTTATTTTTATTAAGTTTCTTTTATATATATATATATATATATATATATATATATATATATATATTTTGATAAACTAAAAATGGACCAAATATGTTTATAAAAATATTAAATTATTATAGGATAAAATTTGACATTTAATTTTAATAAAATTTCTTAAAATGGGGACTAGATCGTTACAAACTATAGTCCATGAACTAAATTGTTACTTTAATGAAAGTACAATGACTAAATCGTCACAGACTAAATTATTATTATTTTAAGTTAAAAATGACGAAGACCGCACATCTGCTGCGTTCACATGACATGACTTGGTGGCTCCACCGTGACTTTATTTTTATTTTTTTCTCTGAAAGAGGTGGCCCCACCGTGACAACGTGGCTTTTAAAGCAATTTTCTTGTCGCGTTAC